CATCCTCGTTCTTTTCCCGACGGCACCTCAATTCTGTCAGATTTATTTCAACATTTTTGTCAACATTTGCCAGGTGATTTATAAACCTTGTTAGTTTGGCCTTTAATTGGCCTCTACGGGATTTCAAGGCACCTAACTCGGGCATGTCCCCCAGACTTATATTATATATATATATAATATATATTTTTTTTTTTTTTAAACCTAATAGTTTATTTTAGGAAGGAGTGGATTTAAGATAATATGGACACGACTTACCAGATTTTTCCTCCTTTGAAGTTGGATTAGTATGTCCAATATTGTTCTCCTTTCGAAAAACTTACCGTTATTCTGATACACGACTGGATTAACGGCTGATTATATTTTATTTGAGTATTTCACGCACGCACTTTTTTACACACGTTTTATCTTTAATAAATACTGTGCGAATTTTAATTTTGACTGCCATTCACGAATATCGCCGATTCCTATTATCCTGGTTGAAGGACCAATGTTAAGTTTCGAATTTAAATTTGTGGACTGTATGAGATTTATATTAATTTAAGAATATAATAATATAGTTGGTTTAATTTGTTATAATATATTTTTATTTACGTGGCGATTGGCAGTCGAACGCATACTGACACTAGACACTTATAATATTATATGTTATACATAGTACTCACTATCGTGAGCGATAATGCGACAAAGTCCGATTTTACAATAATTGCCGATAAAATATACGCGTCAACAGCACCTATATAAGTATAAAATAATAATAAATTTGACGGCGATTCGAGCATGACAATATTATTCCGCAATCCTACGGAACTATACGGAACGGACTAAAATACAAAATACTGCGGCGAATTACGCTAACCGTTTCTACGTCGCAGCATAGTCTACATATTATATAATAATTCACATGATAACGTCATAATATAATACAAAAATAAAAACAATGTGATTAACGATTATGTGTTTGTGTGTGTTGGTCGGTGGCGTATAGGTATCAGTGATTATTAATACTGTTGCTTTTCGGGCGGCAACATTAGTGGTATTCATTCTTGGAAATTCTTTAGTTGGGTCATCACAGTAAAGGAGTTTCTCACAAAGGTGGGCATTAACTAGTTTAAAAGTTAAAGTTAAGTTAAAAAGTTATTTTTTTTAACTTTTTAATTTAACTAGTTAGTTTGTTTTCTAATTAACTTATGGACTAACTAGTTTAATTTACAGTTGAAGTAACTTAGCTATTCTCAGTTAATTTAAAAAAAAAACCAATAAGTTAAAAACACTTTTAAATTTTTTGTTTATACGTAAATATTACTATATCAGTATAAAATAAAAATAATCCAATACTATAATAACACAAACATTTCTGTACTTTTTCTTGATAACATAATTTTGTGTATATTAATATATTTTATTTATTAGAAAGGCAATAAGCTATTATCATTTTATAGTATTAGATGTTTGCAGCACAAATAAGTAATAACAATAATTTTTTATCGATAAGAGAAATACAGCTGACCACCAGATTCTGAAAATTGGAAAGAAAATTCTAAAAATAACTTGAAAACTAAATTATCGTTTAAAGTAAATAAGTATAGAATATAGACGTTATAGTTGTGTATAATATATACATGATAATTGATAATATTATGCTGATCTATACTTGTAGACTATAATACAATACAATATTATGAATTATAATGCGCTTGCATCGGCCAGTCCCTTAAGTTTTTCGTACATATAAATTAGAAACTAGAAAGACACATTCACTATTTATGTGATTTACTTTAAAAAAAAATAGATTAACTTTTTTTAAACTGAGTTAAGGTAATTTTTTTTTCTATATTAACTTTTAACTTATCGAGTTAAGTTTATATATTGTTAACTGTTAACTTTTAACTTATCGATCTTGTGCCCTCTTAACTTAACTTAACTTGAGTTAATTATTTTCATTAACTTGCCCACCTTTGGACTTTCTCAAAATATCCAGTCCACTTTTCCAGAAGCTTCCCTTGTTCAGTCACCAGTGTCCTATCATCTTCTCTTATAAACATCTCTATTTTCTTATATCCTCCTCTTGCTGTGTTTATATTGTGATATAGTTGTCGTACATTATTTAATCTGAAATTTTCTCTTAGTGTTTATTTTCGGTATTGTTTATAATTTTTGTCTTTGTACTTACTTGTGGGATTACCAAGCCCTATGATCCTTAGATTCTTTCTCTGAGCTATTGCATTCTCGCATATCTTATTAAGCCATTGCTTCTTTGTTTTTTCGGTTTACCCAAAACTGTTTCTAATACTGCCTTAATTGACACTATGCTATCAAAACAAATGGTTCTCCACCTTTTTCTCTTTGGCCTCTAACTTGGACACTAGACACATATTTATCCAGCATACTACCTGTAAATCGAGTGTGATTTCTAAGTTTTACTAAATTTTTCCTTTGACAAAAATGTGATCAGAGTCACTATCTGTCCCTCTTACCGTTCTAACATCTTGAATACAGTGGCTGAACCTCAGATGTATTAGTATATGATCAATCTGATTTATATACTTTCTGTCCAATGAGTTCCAAGTTCGTTTATGTATCATCTTAGGTGGGAACATTATATTTGTTACTACCAGGCCTCTTTCAGTTGCCAAATCAATTACTCTTAGTCCTTTATCATTACTTGTGTCATGTAAGCTATATCTTCTATAACTGGTCTGAATGTGACCTCTTTTCCAACCTTCGCATTCAGATCCCCAAGTGAAATTTGAATTCTTCTCCTTGGTATTTTGTTTAAAGTGGTTATTACACCTTCGTAAAAAGGTCCTTCTCCTCTTGTTGTTTATCTTCTGTAGGAGCGTGTAAGTCAACGAAACTAATTTCGAACCACTGCATTGACAAAGTTAGAACTGATATTCTAAGATTTGCATCTTTGAAGCCTTTATTGATGGTATTAAGCTCTTATGCCAATCTGTACCAAATTAGCGTTGATCGTTACATTTCCCATAGAACACTGTCGTGTCTTGAATATCCATTGAGCCTGCCTCACTCTATCTAATTTCCTGTGGGGCCACCACTCTAAGTCTTCACCGCTCCATTTCAGATATAACACACTGTGCGGCTCCTGTCTTAAAAAGGGTGCGAACGTTCCATGTTCCAAAAAATAAAGCATTTTTCCAATTTCCAGTCGTTTTTCCATTATCTCCATTTATCTTAGGCGAATTTGAGAGTACTAGAAAACAGTTTTTTACAAGGCAGAGTTGTTAGCCCTGCGCTTAACCTCCAACCAAGGGGACCAGACTATCCCAACCACTTAATGTCAGGGTACGGCTATTGCAGTGTTCTTATTAAGGTACACTGGGCGATGGGAGCGCCACTTTCCTCGCGCCTATATCTATATAAATAAAACTGAAATCAAGCAAAAGAGGAAATCTTTGTTACGGCTTGGCTTCGAAACTTCTTATCCAAATGTCATGCAGTTTTTTTTTAAATGAAAGAGGATATCACGGAGCAGGTTTTAGGCAAAAATTTAGTCCAATTTAGTTAATAAATCATTAGTTATTATTAATTAAAATAAATGTGTAAATTGTATACCTATACCTGTTTTAGTAAGAAATAGTCGCTGGCTGAAAATAAATAACAATTGTTTGCGCCGACGATCCTGCCCAGCGGTTGTCGTCTGACACACGGTTCTCAGGACTGTTGTGGAGTAAGACAATTAAATAATAACAAGATTTTCTTTCTATCAGGAGCATGTATTGTTACACATGAGCATTAGTTAATTAATCATGAAAACAATATTACAATATTTAACAGGAGGGGGGAACGGGGATCACCGCCTGAGCTGCCTCTCTGGTTGGATGTCTTGAGCTGATGACTGTAGATGCTGAACTGCTGATGCTTATCTGCTGGACCACGGGTGCGAGCGGATGCCCCGTTGTGTCGTGGAGAAACGAGCGGTTAACTGCACGAACACGTGAACTCGAAGTATGAGAGTAGGTAAAACTACACGGAGCTGTTGTTATGAGCTTAACGATTCACAACTGAATCACAGACTGGACGACGACAGTCAATGTGATGAGCAACACGAGCTGGATGGCGGAACAACCTCTATGCCGAAAAAACTATAGACCACGTTTTCTCGGGTGCTTTCCAAACGGGAAAAGATGGCTGCCGGCGAGCGAGAAGAGCAAGAACAAAAACAGAGCTGTTGTGTACTCGTTGAGCAAAAAAGTAGAGTGACGCGGACGACCGAGCTCGCCTGCGCCGAGCGCCGGTAACGGTCACCGGTGGTGTTGCCAACATAGCAGTTGACGGTAAACAGCGCCCGCGAACCTGGTTACTGATTACCTATCGATTACCGTGGTGGTCAACACAGCGCGACCACCGACGGCGGCAGCTTCATATCAAACGGATCGAACATACTCCCCCTTGCAAGTTCCAGCTAACTTGCAACAGACTTCGATCAACCATGATATAGGTGGCCGAGCAAGTGACCACTTGAACAGAGCAGTTGAGATGTTGAACGGAGCTGGTGGACGGAGCAGTTGAGCTGTTGAACGGAGCTGGTGGACGGAGCAGTTAAGCAGCCCACCGCGAAGATCGGTTTTTCTTACAAAGGGGCAACATCATTAACAGTTTTTTTTTGCAAAGAAATAAATTAATTTAATAACATTAACAATGGTTAGAGCAATAGCTGAACTAGCATTACAATATTTAACAATAGGAGCAAAAGTTAATTAATATCAAAAAACAAAGTCTTTAGTTACATTTTTTTTAAATATACAGATATTATAACAGCTTAATACCTGAAAATATAACAAAAGGTAAACAATAAAAATTACCATACCTCACCTGGTACCCGAGGCAGAACAGCCGACGCAACATCCAGTAGCAGACGCGATGATGGCTGGTAAGACCATTAATTATTAACATAATGAACATAGCAATAACATACAAACATAAAGTGCAAATGGATACATAATGGATACAGGAAACAGGGACAAGGGGAGTCTCAATACCTATGGATCTGTGGGGAGAGGTACTAGTTTCACCACCGGTCTAGTAAACACCCCTTGTTTGGTCATAACCTTAGCTACCCGTACCACCTTATCGGTTCCTGGATACACCTCAATGATTCTACCTAATGGCCACGATAGCGGGGGCGCGTCATTAACCTTGACGATAACCATAGTACCAACTTCGAGATTGGTATCAGTCTTCGTCCACCTACCACGAGCTTGGAGAGTGTTCAAATACTCTCGAGACCAACGTCGCCAAAAGAACTGGAAAGACTGCTGGAGGAGCTTCCAGCGAGTCTGCAGTCCCACTTGTGCACTGGCACTAACAGGTTCTGGAATAGACAACAGAGGACGACCAATCAAAAAATGACCGGGCGTTAAACCTTCTAAATCATTTGGGTCAGATGAAGCCGGTACTAGGGGGCGCGAATTCAAGGCAGCCTCTACCCTACACAACACCGTTGTGAACTCTTCCAAGGTCCAAATTTGGGAATCCATTGCACGAACAAGCAATGACTTCGCCGACTTAACGGCAGCTTCCCAAAAGCCTCCAAAATGGGGAGCACCAGGAGGGTTGAAATGCCATTCGCACGCAATATGACCTGACAACTGATCTCTACTATCCGGATTGTTGATCAAAAGACGCAGCTGCCTCGCCGCACCAACGAAATTGGTGCCACAATAAGAATAGATGGACGACGGTAGGCCACGGCGAGCAACGAATCTATCTAAAGTCAACAAGAAGGCCTCAGTCGACAGAGCAGTCACTGGTTCTAGGTGCACCGCTTTGGTGGTCATACAAACAAAAACCGCAATATAAACCTTTACGATGCGCGCCTTTCGCAGACTGAGTTCCTTCATCTGCAAGGGACCTGCGTAATCTATGCCGACTATCGAAAACGGATGAGCTTCTCGGACCCGGAACCCTGGCAGAGCAGCCATGATGGGTTGTGGATGATTAGCCGACATTTTTACACATAACACGCATTTGCGAATCACCCGATGAACTATAAGGCGAATGCCAATGACCCAGAATCGCTGCTGAACGAGAGCGATGAGCAACCTCGGTCGAGCGTGACATGCATACAGATGCCAATGACGTGTAATCAGAACCGCTAAGTGAGACTCTTTCGGGACTAGCAAAGGATGCTTTCTTCTCTCCGACCAAATGGAGTTCTGCATCCGTCCGCCAACGCGGATTATACCGTCTGAATCTAAAAACGGGCACAGACGGGAAAGCGCTTTGGACTGGACCGGGCTCCCCCGACGCAGGCCACCTACTAGCTGACTCAAATAGCATTCCTGAGCGCTCCTAACGATCACGAGTATAGCCTCATCCAATTCAGATTGTTTCAAAAACCCTAACTCAACCTTTCTCTTTTGACACAACCGAATGAACCGACGTACCTGAGCTACTACGCGGACCATCTGATGAAAGGAGGAGAACCGAATAAACCATTCGACCGGAGGATCTTCACGAGCCAATAAACACACTGGTTTTACTTCCGGCAACTCTTCCAATTGTAATTGTGGGATTTCCTGAGACCAATCTTCGACTGGAGATTGCAAGAAGGTCGGACCCCACCAATAGAGCTTGCATCGCCTAAGCTCGTCAGGGAGGAGACCTCGAGACGCGCAGTCAGCCGGATTATCCTCGGAACGCACATGTTGCCAGCGGCAACCAGGTACTGTGGACTGGATCTGAAATATCCGGTTCGACACGAACGTCTTGAACGATGTATGCGGGATGTTCAACCACGATAAAACTATGGACGAATCAGACCACGCGAAGACATCAGAAATTCCCAACTGGAACTCCAAAATGCGCTTGAGCCTGGCCAACCATGATGCAAGGAGCAATGCACCACTTAACTCCAGTCGTGGTATCGTCATGGTCTTCATTGGGGCTAGCTTGGTTTTAGCACCCAAGAGGTATGTGGCCGTAGCTCCGGACGGATCAGTCACGCG